TTACCTTATTTCTAATGAAAATTTTCCTGACTTTTTACCTTATTTCTAATGAAAATTTTCCTGACTTTTTACCTTATTTCTAATGACAAATTTCCTAACTTTTTACCTTATTTCTAATGAAAAATTTCCTGACTTTTTACCTTATTTCTAATGAAAATTTTCCTGACTTTTTACCTTATTTCTAATGAAAATTTTCCTGACTTTTTACCTTATTTCTAATGACAATTTTCCTGACTTTTTGCCTTATTTCTGATGACAATTTTCCTGACTTTTTACCTTATTTCTAATGAAAATTTTCCTGACTTTTTACCTTATTTCTAATGACAAATTTCCTTACTTTTTACCTTATTTCTAATGACAAATTTCCTGACTTTTTACCTTATTTCTAATGACAAATTTCCTGACTTTTTACTTTATTTCTAATTAAAATTTACCTGACTTTTTACATTATTTCTAATGAAAATTTTCCTGACTTTTTACCTAATTTCTAATGAAAATTTTCCTGACTTTTTACCTTATTTCTAATGAAAATTTTCCTGACTTTTTACCTTATTTCTAATGACAAATTTCCTGACTTTTTACCTTATTTCTAATGAAAATTTCCTGACTTTTTACCTTATTTCTAATGACAAATTTCCTGACTTTTTACCTTATTTCTAATGAAAATTTTCTTGACTTTTTACCTTATTTCTAATGAAAATTTTCCTGACTTTTTACCTTATTTCTAATGACAATTTTCCTGACTTTTTGCCTTATTTCTGATGACAATTTTCCTGACTTTTTACCTTATTTCTAATGAAAATTTTCCTGACTTTTTAGCTTATTCCTAATGACAAATTTCCTGACTTTTTACTTTATTTCTAATGACAGTTTTCCTGACTTTTTACCTTATTTCTAATGACAAATTTTCCTAACTTTTTACCTTATTTCTAATGACAATTTTCCTAACTTTTTACCTTTTGTTCAGAGAAAATGACGTTGTATTTGACGCTTCGCTTCCATGTAAAAAAAGTCAATTTGATGTACAATGCTTGTTTTCTGTTCTTCATTCGGATATGTTATAATGGCTTACACACGAACTTCAAATAACCTTCAACAATCTGCTCATCTCAAATTTGTATTGCGGAGTCATATTTCATTCTATCATCATCCCTTGTATAAATAACACAGTGCTGGACAAGTCTTGTTTACTTATGTCATTCAGACTACTTCATAGAGTATCTTTCTTCATTAGTTTGACTGATTGTGTTTGCAAATGGCATACTGAGAAATTATATATATTCGTCGGGTAAAATTTTCGTTGTTTTAAAAATAACTATTTCGTGGACATTTGATTTTATGGATAAATATAGCTCAATGAATGTACTAAAAATAGTTCTAACAGTTCGTTGACATATTAATTCGTGGCTTAAAAAAACCCATGAAATTAACGAAAATAAATCCCCGCAAAAATTAGTTATTGTAGAGTATGTTTGTGATTTCGTCTGTTAAGAATGTGTGTCCCTTCTTGGATACAAGGCAATACGTAAGAGGTTGTGAGGATATTCCTGTCGTACCCCAACATTCCTTTTTTAAGTATAAAATAAAAAGTACTGTGTTAGAAATGTTCAAGATTACGCGAGCCATCTTTTTTCACAAGTCTACATGTCGCATCACAGGTGTGTATTGTCAGTACGTGGACAGGTGTAAACTTTATAAGTATATCATTGCCTACTGATACATATTCTCAGTTCTTATACGTTATGACTTTGGATTATTGCGCAATGAAGCATTTTAATGTCTCGCCCACCATAGCCGCCTTCCAACAGTTGCCAACAGAGATGTTGTTTGTATATACACGGGTATAGATATTGTGTAACTCTACAAGGTAATTAAGGTAAGGAAGTAACCAATTATAAAAACTTAGTACTTCTTTCCGTATCATGTATTTTTTTTTTATTTCTCTTCTGTAAATTACATCAAGTCAACTGAAGTCCAGTTAGTCAATAAAACTGATCGGTCACCTGCTTAAGTACACACTCTGATAACAATGATAACAGCTTCTAAATGTGCCGAAAAGCTGCTTTCCTCGTTTTTTTGCAGTAAAGATGTATATAGGTCAATATTTACAGTCTTTCGTGAATTGATGCTTTTAACGATACTCATTTCCAAATAAAATCAATAATCACAAGTGAATTAGAGCGACGCGCAATAATTTATCCCTGCATCACCGCATTCTATTCACGAACCGCTGCACAAATATCCAATGTGGGCACGTAGTAGACACTTTGATGCCACAAAATAGACTCACAGATAACTGTTCATACATCACGACATGAATGAGTTGTCGCCAGCTGCTGATATCAGCAATCATCATACGTTTGGAGGTCATCTCCGTGAAATAGGCCAATAGACACACGTACCTGTATGTTAAACTTGTATTAGCTAAGTTGATGATTTAAAAAACACAATTTTAAATAATTTTCATATGCAGTTAAGTAATTTTATAGATATAATGATATTTAAAGAACCACTCAAACATGCAATTCACGAACAAAACATTTTTTGTTTGTGATCGAATTGACCGGAAACCTACATTGTCTGTAACCATCTGATGACGTAGACCTCAATATCTGATGACGTAGACCTCAATATCTGATCGTGTAATCTTACACCTCATTATCTGATGACGTAGACCTCAATATATGATTGTGTAACCTTAAACCTGATTCTCTGATGACGTAGACCTCAATACCTGATTGTGTAACCTTATACCTCATTAACTGATGATGTAGACCTCATTATCTGATGTTGTTGACCTCATTATCTGATGACGTAGACCTCAATATCTGATCGTGTAATCTTAAACCTCATTATCTAATGCCGTAGACTTCAATATATGATTGTTTAACCTTAAATCTCATTATCTGATGACGTAGACCTCAATATATGATTGTGTGAACTTAAACCTCATTATCTAATGACGTAGACTTCAATACCTGATTGTGTAACCTTATACATCATTATCTAATGATATAAGCCTCATTATCTGATGATGAAGACCTCAATACCTGATGTGAGCCTTGCAATATAATTAGACCGTACAGTTATTTTTATTGAATCGATGAAGATTTAAAATATATCTTTCAAGGAATCAGAGGTCTGGTGTTTTTTGTCTTACCTATAAACGAGTTATTTTTATCTTTAGAATATTCTTACCTAAGCATAAATGTTCCTTTAATTTATGCATCGTTATAAATCTCAATAATGTTCTAAATCAATTATGTTGTTCAAAGGTATTGCTCACGTTTCAATTCTACAGATATAATTATGTTACAAAGACTACACAAACGTATAACAAATTTAAGACGAAATATTCATAAAACTTTTTTCAGTCATTGTAGAACTTATCATGTGACATCTCTCTCTCTCTCTCTCTCTCTCTCTCTCTCTCTCTCTCTCTCTCTCTCTCTCTCTCTCTCTCTCTCTCTCTCTCTCTCTCTCTCTCTTTTCATGTCAAATTATGTACAGTACATATAATGAAACTTAACCGAGAACATACTGACCGACAAGAAATTATTAATTTCAATTCAATAAAAGATATATATATATATATATATATATCCTGTAATTTCATGGTTGATGTAAGGTTAAAACAACGAAAGTGACCGGAAAATAGCAGCGTTTTACATTTCTTTAATCTGATGTTAAATATACAATTCACCTTGAGAAATTTCGTTTACAATACTGACATGCACACACTTACACTTACACTCCACGTGTACGGACGAGCTCGATACGTATTTCACAATTTCCGACACAAACAGAAAGGCGAGCCAGTCCATTACCTGAAAATAAAAAGATTGGTATTTCGTAAGCGTGACGTACCAGTCAATATTTCCACGCGCTGTCGTTATAAACCTTTCCGTTCACGTGACAAAGTGCGTTCATAATTGTGTGGTAACGACAAATAAAGCATACTATAAAATAAGAACGGGGAGTACAGGGAGAATTTAATTCTAGAAAGATAGAGATATTATTGGATCAAGTTATACAATTTTGATTACAGGTAGGTAGGAACATGTGGTGTACTTAGTTGTACATGTAAGAAAATGATACGGTTATGTTTCAAAAGTGAAATGAAAAGATGAAAACACAGTTGTTTTTTTTTCAATATTTTTCTATAAAGTAAGATGTTTAAGTCTTGATATATTACTACTACGCGATTTACACCATAGCCTTGACAGCGTATAACACGAGAAATCACGCTTTTGTGATAACCTTCGTTTACTGTACTTGTAACACAGATTTCATTCATAAACGAAGACTAAGTGTGCGTGGACGGATATAGGGCATGACTAGAGATTTAAGGTTTTTATGTTAAGTAGATTTGTTCTATTTAAATCGTTATGAAACGTACAGTAATATTTGTGTTTGTGGGGAGGAGGGCGGGCGGGGGGGGGGGTAATATTTTCCTACATATTTACGTATTAAGCATTTGTTATATTAGTAAACGTTGTTGATATTAGAGGAAGAAATAAACAACACAAAGTATCGAATAAAGAAAAACACAACAAAGATGAAAAGCCAGACGGACGCACACGGACAGATACTTGTGTGTAGGTTGCGTTTAAATACCAATCATTTCTGTAAAATGGTATCTCCTAGTTCTAAAATTTTTACTTATATAGCTCAGGTACACGCTTTTGTTTAATTATTTATCATGGTGCAATAATTCCAGTGTAGGTAACACGTGTACAATAAATTACAACTAGTGGTCACCATGAATACGTCATCATAGCTGTGTTTGTTTGTGTCCGTGTGTGTGTGTGTGTGTGTGTGTATGTGTGTTAAAGATCGCAACGGCTAAGACCTTACATGTATATGAACAAGGTTTTATTTCAGTGAATAAATGTTTTGCTGGAAGTTGGTGACCTGATAGCGTTCCTAAACATTTAGACCGATTTGTGTGTTTTAAAGTTTTCAGTTTACATTTGCTTGTGTTTCAGTTGGCATCGACAACAATCATGACTTGAAGGATGTCCGAACCTCTAGTTGAGTGACCACAACTTGATCAAATATTTACAGTGTGTAAGGTTTGTATCCTTTCGGGATTTTCTCTTATCTTATAATCGGCGGGTGCCCAAATTTCTCCGAATAAATTTAACAAGCCTGTATTTCTCCGTCGTCCATAATACTTTTCCGAAAATCTTTTCATGCTTGAAGTCAACATCAAAATACAAGATGGACGCCAAGACTAGCCCTCTTATTCGTAATTCACTTTTGTTTTGTTTCTAATTCCGGTAGCCACTAAGACTAAAACTCCAAATTTTTCCTCGATGTTTCACGTAGAATACTAGGCGTGCCAGGGATGTATAATGCTGTTTTACTTGTATATAATACGTTCGTAGTTGATTTTTTTATGAACTTTTATAATATTGTATAATTACTCAATGGATACCAAAGATGGTACAATCCAATATTTGTTTCTCAGATTTTGTTCATGGATGGAGAAATTAAATGATATGTTTCAGTCAGATGAACTTCCGTAAACGTGTTAAGTTTAAGTATACCACGAAGTAGAGCTTCCTTGTGACGGTCTCCGTACATTACCGGAGATAAAAAGTAGGTCCTGTTAATAGTTTGAACGCTGAGCGACTTTATACAATTGTGATTCAAAAGTGACATTGACAGCGTATCAGGCGGAAGATGATGAGAACCTATCATTCGCCCGAGCCAAATTAAAACCTAGTCATTTCCCTGCAAAATATGCACAATTCTCAAATAAATGGACCTGAAATATAGCTTTGAACCACGATAGAAAATTTGGAGGTCAGATCTAAATAAACTCTTGTGAAAGTTTTAAATCCCAAAAGGAATATCTAATCCAATTTTCGCGAGAGTGAGATCCAAAGTTTCATTTCTCTGAGGGATACAATATCCAATATTTCGTTGTTTTAGTAGTGTTTAGTGGCTAAAGTTGAGTATTGAATGTGATTAAATCAAATGTATCGTGCCGTCTCTCTATTTTGTAAAGAAATGATGTTAGGTATTGGTATCTGACATAACAAATGTCACTCCAATTATGAATAGCATTTTATCTTCGTATTCATAGAATCGTTGTTCACGCTCGTGTCACAAATATCGAAATACTCGCATGACGTCATACGTTTGTGTCGGCAGTGAAAGGCACTTCCGTGTCGAAATTTCATGGTCAAAAGAGACTTGTATTGGGCATTTTCACTATGTTAAGACATGTGTGAGAACAGAATAAGATTCTTTTTAATATGACCACTCATGTTGGGTTTTCCTTTCATTGTGGCTAAATATCGCGGAAAGGACAGATATAGAAAGTAACACATCATCTGACCTTAAGCGTGTATAATTTTGCTTTGATGCAAAGTTTTAAGTTGGAGAATTTGACAATCGCGATATGGAGCTGCAAAGTACCCGTATGATGGCTAAATCGTCACGATTAAAAAAATATAATGCAAGCATGATTGCTAAGTCACAACATATTAAGTTCATGCGACCTCGAACATAGTTGCGTGTATGCTGTACCCGATGAAAAGCCTTTGTTCCATTGATATGTAGATATATTTTGACTACCAAACACAAACAATAGTAGTAGAGTAGCAAAGATCAGATTCGCCGTCCTGCGCACAGGGTATTCATGTCGGCCGCTTGCCATTATACGGTCGATTTAAATATCGATCGGTTCGCAGAGTACTACCAGTAAATGGTAGCTACCGACTATAAGCAATAAATATTGCTTTTATGGACCTATAAAATAAAAATAAGCTGTATAAATAAAGACGAAACCGTGATTATATATTTATTGTGAGCACTTGATGTGTGGTGTAATCGGTTCAACTGACTAAATGTAGGCTAACAACATGTGAAACGTATATGTACCGTTACATTTATTGAATTCTGATTGTGTTAAAATGTGAATGACGTCATGGGTCGGTACAATACCAGTATAATTGGCTATGTCGTTCGTTAAACATGTGTGACCTGATCGTGGACCAATACATAGGTATATGAAGCCCAGCTCGATGTTCGTTGTGTAATCACCAAGACGACGGGTCAGTCAAGTTTGCAGACTAGGGTCACGAACGGGGCCGGTACCAATATTCTTAGTAGCGTGGTCAGTCTTTGGATAATCCCAACCTGTTCTCATACATAAGATCAATCGTGAACAGATTAAAGTAATGCTTAACTATATATGTGACGGTTACTCCGCGTGTGTAAAGCTGTGCGCAGTCTGATGTTCAAACAATGGACACGCATGACAGAATGTGTACATTTTAGTTCATCTGTCTGGAGCAGTTAGGTGGCGGTGAATACTTTTTAAAAATGTATAAGCTAATTGTCGATCGGACGCCATGACTGTGGTACTGGATATGGAATACAGGTTATATACGGTAAGATCTTATCTGTACATCGATCCTACTACTTGAGGATAATTCACTACGCGCAAATAGGAACGAAGATTTTCGATATATTCGATCTGTATACAAAGTATTTCGCAATTCAAATACCAAAATAATTGAATTCTTATAAAGTACGTCTATATATGATGATATACGAGTATTTAATGTTTATATTAAATCAAAAAACTGAAATTGATAATTTTATCAGCCTGTATTTGTAATTTTATATTGAAAAAAAAACAGTTCTAGCACATTACCAACAGGTGCTGTAGGAGGAACACACGAGATCAATGTAGTTTTTAAAATTCTGTTTTATAAACTTTTTTAACGTTCTTTTTACCTAAAGAAATGACGTATCTGTATTATACGTCGCTGGCCACCACTTCTACAACACACCTGGTCGTGATGATCTATTTAAATGTCAAGAAAATTCATTACTTACAGAGAATATTTTTAAATGTCTCACTGACCGAAAAAGATGAGGTGTTAGCTCTGGTATAGTGTCCTATGGGTTGGGATTGGGGGAGGGGGTTAACACCGTTCCTTGTTACTCCTATAGTAGAATAATGTCCATTAGAGTGATATTCTTTGGCTAGAGGGGGGGGGGGTAATTCAGTTTATTAAAAAATGACATTTATATTTTCCTATTCGATTGGACTGCATCACGTGATTTTTGACAAAAGTTATGTTAATAGGCTGTGAAAATGAAGGATAGATATATGTCGGAAATATATATATATAACAGATATGAATTTCTGTGTTTTCCGAGAGAAAAATCAAACTAACACACGCTTTAATATCGCCACTGAATGTATGGCCTCCTCGATTTTATATTGCGTGGTTGTTGATGAAGGCGCGACGTAGGCCTGTTCAGTTCACAAAAACAGCTGTTTATAGTCTTCGCAAGGTAAAATAAACATTTAGCCTCTGTGTTATGTAGACAGAGTTATCTCAACACGTGGATAATATTTGTAAAGTTGAAAAAGTGGATTTGTCATTGACAAAGGGAGATAAGTCGGCAAAGGAGAGTAACCCGAAGGCATACAACTCTTCTGTGGATTACTTGTGTACATTTACCTCATTCTCATTCTCTCATAATTATACCACATAATTTGTTAATAAATACACCCACAGCCTATCAAGCTTAAAATCCTCGGTTCTATGTAAACAGCCGCTGATTTAATGTAAATTGATAGAGGATGTATTAAGCTATGATTATCGTAGTGGTAATTCACACCTAAATCCAATTTAGGCATTTTTTGTTCAAACAGTGGTATGTATATATTTATCTTAATTGCACACGCTGTTTGGGAAACCCTCTTTGATCAGAACAAAATGGCCCGGAGTCATTGATTCTGTATATTATTTACCGCGTAGAAAAGGATTTAAATGAGAATTACTGTACCGTGACGGTATAGCTCAATCTCGACAGAAATCGTTCTACATCTAATTATTTCAGGAATTATGAAATGCAATCAACTTCTTCACCAAAGCCGTCGCCTTACACCCTGGCCTCCCCCTTCCCTCACCCTCATCACACACCCCTCACTCTAGCCAGTCCCTTACACCCTGGCCTCCCCCTTCCCTCACCCTCATCACACACCCCTCACTCTAGCCAGTCCCTTACACCCTGGCCTCCCCCTTCCCTCACCCTCATCACACACCCCTCACTCTAGCCAGTCCCTTACACCCTGACCTCCCCCTTCCCTCACCCTCATCACACACCCCTCACTCTAGCCAGTCCCTTACACCCTGGCCTCCCCCTTCCCTCACCCTCAGCACACACCCCTCACTCTAGCCAGTCCCTTACACCCTGACCTCCCCCTTCCCTCACCCTCATCACACACCCCTCACTCTAGCCAGTCCCTTACACCCTGGCCTCCCCCTTCCCTCACCCTCATCACACACCCCTCACTCTAGCCAGTCCCTTACACCCTGGCCTCCCCCTTCCCTCACCCTCATCACACACCCCTCACTCTAGCCAGTCCCTTACACCCTGGCCTCCCCCTTCCCTCACCCTCATCACACACCCCTCACTCTAGCCAGTCCCTTACACCCTGGCCTCCCCCTTCCCTCACCCTAATCACACACCCCTCACTCTAGCCTGTCCCTCACACCCTAGCCTGTCCCCCGCACCTTCACACCACATATCTCACCACACCCTAATTCCCATCTCACACCCCTATCCACACTCTAGCATCCTCCTTGCACTATCACCTCACATCTCTCCCCGCCCTCAAGCCCTAACCTCTCCCCCTCCCACACACACATACACGCCCTATCATTCATCGCGGTCTACATCCTTCCCTCTGACAACTGTCCGTGAATTATGCGGTTTAAGTTTTTTCATGTATAGATGGTAAATCGAATTCTGATTACAACATCATTACGCTGATTAGACTCGGCACACCTGAGTACAGGTGGAACCTCGGGTGTCTGTAATACCTGGAAAGTGTTCCTTGGGATACAATTTAATTTGATGTTTTGTTACTTTGAGCCTTGCAGCTCATCAGTTCAAAATAACATTTAAAAGTGTGAATAACAATGAAATAAAACCTCCTCATCCAGCACACACACACTACCATGTAAGTATTTTGTAAATATCGAATTTATTCTCATCCGCAGGCTGTATAAAGCATCTCGATAAGCCAAATGCTGAGTATTACTACACTGACACGCAGGCCAAAGAAACCCAAACTCATGTCCGACAATGATAAGAGGAACTCGAGAAGCCTGGTTTCTGACCTTTCTTATAACCAGGTGCTGGAAGTCGACCCAAAAAATGAAGCAATCTCTATGATGGGTATGCTGAAGCGGGATGAGGAAGCTCTCACGGAACACATTAAGGATTTAATAAAATATAGAAAAGATTATGCAAAGACAGTGTTCACAACAGATGTTGAAGGTTGGACACCTTTTCATGCATTTGCCTTGCGTGGCTGTCGGAAACTTGTTAAACTTAGTTTGAAGGCAGGCGTTGAGGTGGATATGGAAATGGGACAACCGGACGGACTTCCCGGCGGTTGTTCCGCACTGCACTTAGCCTCTCACCGTGGTGACGTCAGCATAATTGACATTCTCCTCGCCAATGGCGCTGCTGTAAACAAGAAAGACAACACAGAAAGGACACCAATTTTCTATGCATCACGAGCTAATAACACGCTCGCTGTGAAAAAACTCGCACGTGCAGGTGCTGACGTCAGTTTGTGTGACCCGGAGCACAAAGCTTCAGTTGACGGCATTCCTTCCTCACCATTCTGCTTTCTTCCGTTTGTTGGACAAAGGCGGAAATCAGAAAAACAGTAACCACCGGTAATAGTCACGTGACATGCTGTGTTTTTACAATCATGTGTAAACAATTGTATAGAAATTTAAATGTTAAAACTTGAACATGATAAGTGTGCGAGATGTGATACACCAGATTTGTCCTATCAAATTGCTGTCATTCATATTTCATTATATTTTCATATATTTTGCAATACAATTTTTTTAAACATTTGTATTCACAATTTTAAAGAAGAAGATTGAGAATCTTTTAAGTTGAAATATTTCCTTCTACAACTTCTGATTTTTGCCTATCTTAAATTACAGAACATACGTGTATTTATATCTTAAGATGAGTTTACCCACATGGTAATTTTTAGACATTCGTGTTAGTAGTTTTTCATATTACGGTATAATCTTGAAGAAAACCCTGTCAAATTATTTATCTCATTCATTCATTTCTGTTCCTGAATTTGTATTCGATTCTAATTTCATTTTATAAGTTTTGTCATTTTTTTGTTTGTTTGGGAAAGCTTCTCATTAGTCTTAGAATTATGTGTTATTTATGTGTGACGTCTTAATAGAATGGATTAGTCAATGCTCCCAGATCACTACACAATATAGACTGGAGTCGAAATACTGCGATGTATATATGTTTACAGTGAAAATGTCGATGTTTTTGTACTGATATGGGATATAAGTATATGCATACATCAACTTATCAAACAGGCCTTACAAAGTATCCATTAATTCAAGTTATATTTCGTCTTGATAAAGGAGCTAATTCACCAGCAGTGCACCTGAAAATTCACGATATCCGAAATCTCGAAACTAGAGTATATTTATAAGCAATTCTGTGTATATATGAATCTACGTCTGTGCCTTAAATTCACGCTGCCAATGGTGAAGTGCCTTTGTTCGTGACTTATAACACTGATCTAATGGTTGTGTGATACATTTAAATGCGTGATGCTTTTTTCATATTTAGTGCTGAATAATGTTAAAATATTCGTTGTTATCAAAGGTGCAATATACTGAGAACTATACTTATCAGTGGATGATAATTTCATGCAGGAATTTATTACCATTGAATTGTCTATGGGAAAACAGCGGAACGAAGCCGCAATTGAGCGTATTCGTCCTAAAGTCTAAATTGTTTCACTTGTAAATAAGACTGATGCCCTTATTTCATATACCAGTCTCTTAAACCCGTTTGGAATATTATTTAAACACAGTTTTTCGACTTTTATTACATTATTAAAAAACAATTAAAGTGAAAAAAATGCGTCACTTGAGGGCTTTAATGCAAAATATAAAACATATTTGTAATACTTGTTAGTTAAACCGTCATAAACGTGGATCCTGATTAATACAGCCCTCCCTAGTCCGGACCCTTGTTTATCCGTTATTGGTAGATCCCCGCTAATTCGCTATTCCGGATACAACAACGACTCTATATTCAATTTGAAAACCATCTGAAACAGAGTCAGCTATGCAATGGAAGCGTCCCGAATATTGGTGTCTGGAATATCGATATAATTCAGAATAACGGGTGTACAAGATGTCATGGTTCTGCATTTATATGAGTATTCAGTAGTAGTACTGTTTGCTGTGATACATGCACTATTTGTACATCATGTGATTTATCCGGATTTTCATGATAAGGTTAAAGGGATAAAAATGATATGTTTGATGCAAAAATGATGTGCCGAGGAGCAACCTCTGAAGCATGAAAATTAACATGATCACGTATGAAATGAGTCGAGTACCTAACCATAGTTATCAATAAAACGCACTCTGTTGTAAGTATGTGATATAAATGTTTCGTTTATCCGGATGTCGGATTATATAACAGATTAATTATAGCATGTGATATACCTCACAATGTCATTTTAAAACTTTTATCTTACATGTATATACCCCATCTCATGCGCTGTTAGAAGTTTATGAAGTATTAACTGTTCCTAAAGTCAAATTAGTGACAAAACGAGTTGTCTCCCTTATTATCATATATCAGTGGTCGTACTGTAGTCTTTAAAATTCAATTTGTTTTTTGATGAAGTAGCTTTTAAATATTCAAAATACTGATCTTTTATAGCCAAAGTACACAAAAGTACTTATAAAATTTATTTGTAAAATGTGTAAGGGAGATAACTCGTACGTTTCGAGACGCCATGACTCAGGTACAGAAAGATATACATGCATTGTTGCATACAATCAGATTTAAATTAAAAGTCATTTATTAAATCTACGTGTATAATAGCACTAGCATTTGTTGAATTACATTGTACATGTTTATCAAATTATTGATAAAATCGTCCTATTGAGTATACAGATTATCGAGATTTATTCTAAAGTACGTTTTTATTGTACCATATACTGTAAAAATGGCTATTTTTGTGAATCATCATCTTCGCAGATCTCCTGCTGCAGGTAGAGAGTCCAGAAAATGATTTATTTGTTATTAATGATATGTTAACTTTCCTCGTGGATTCGCCTGACATGTCGTATTTTGTTAAGACAAGTGATAAGATATGAAGCATTGCGTTGCTAGGGTCAACACTCGTCATTTCGAATTTTGCATAGCAACGGATGTAATATGCTGGATTCATGCTTTGAAAAAGGCAAGGTATTTGAGAAAAAATTATATTAGGCATTTTCTTACACCTGTAACCGTGTTTTGAGAGTAGCACACCTGGCCACGTGTCTGTCTGAAAGCTTTAAGAGTGATATGTGTGTAATTGCGATCGCATCAGTGCTTTACGGTAATGGTTGTTGTAATGAAAGTGTTTAAACTCTAACAATACCAACAAAATAGAATATACATGATCGGCTTTAACTTATATCGCAGCATGAGAACTTCCGACCCGTTGATTTTACAAAAATATCTTGTCCGACAAAATATCTTTCCAAGCATTCATGGGGAAATAAAAATGTTCCGAAAATTCTTAAATTTATCAAGCAAATACATAAACTTTGTCAAGAACTTATTGAAGAAACAATATTTAAATCAAACTGATGTTCTGTTTTCCCGGTATCAGGAGCCTTCGGCTTTTTCCGTAAACAAGATGGCAAAGTGTTCTCAGTTTGACATGAAACTTGCGATATTTGTTTTTTTACATGATATGCAAATGAGAAAAATTGTAATATGTAATTTTTATTTTATTTGAATGTATGTTAATTTTTCTATAAAATTATGTGTATGTATGTATTTAAAACCTGAAACAGTTAGTTCAATATGATCTACACATTATAACCTAGATATCTCTATGTAATTTACTTTTTGATGAATTGCGCCTATTTTTAGCCAGTACCTGTTTGATTTAAACATTATTTCATTCAGATATTCAATTAAATATGCTGCAAAGAGGATTCTGAAAAAAAAGTACAAATATAGTAATATTTATCCGTTTCAATACCTATTTCATAAACTCATTTTATATACATAGATACAAAATTTAAAAGAAAAGCCGATTTTTTACGTCTTTGTAAACGCACAACTTGAAAAATGCACCCGTTCAATGTACCTTAAGCTAAACTTTTACATACTTAAAGCTGTCTTTTTCTATGTATATTCATTCATTGTCAACGCTGACAAAATGAACTTTGTCTCGTCAGAGAATGGATTTGAACTATTGAATTTGTTGACAGAGAGAGAGAGTGTGTGATGGTGGGGGAGAAAGACAGAAATAGAGAGAGAGAGAGGTCAGGCGTGTTTGACTCATGTAGTCACGTATCACGTAATTATCTGCCATGACGTAGATTTAAGCACTCTGTGATATTTTGTTGTTATAGTAACGGGCCTAGTTTTGTAGTGGTTCTATGAAGAAGACACTATCAGTAACATTTATTCAACGTTACGAGAATTACTAATCTTAGTTATATTTTATAAAGAAATATCAGTATTGTTACAAGAATCAGGGAAAATTCACTGTTAAAAAACTTAAGATAGCAAAACTTGTCGTGTCTCCGAAGATTTAAACTCTGAGGGATTTTCTATCTATCACAATTGTCTCCCTTGCTAAAACCAAGTCAAAAGACTGCGTGATACTGGTGGCAAAATTCCAACTCTACACTAGGACATGTCAATAAATTTCCACATTGCGCATGCCCAAGGCTGCACCACCCTGCGAGGTGAGATTTTTAAGATACACTCCTGCTGTGGAAGAAGATTTTAATACAATTTTATATGTTAAAGAGAGAGGCCCAGTTCAAGTTTTTACGGTTGTTTTTCTTATCTGTTCAAATAATGCATTAATCTCAATATGAACGATACATTTATGAAAAGGCATGTAAAAGCAGTAGTCCATTTGTCAATATATTTATTAAATTCATACAACATTGAGACGGTACATCGTGAGGTTTCTCAGTTTAGTAGATTCGGCCATTAAAGCATTAATCACGTGGCCAAGAAATATCAGAGTATTATTTCAGAATCAAGTGTGTGCTGAAGTTATAACATCACAATGTCATATGCAAAAATGTTCGGAACAATCTGGTAATCTTCGGAACATCCCGCTTAACTTCGGGACATTCCGATAAAATTCGGAACATTCCGGTCAAACCATTATATGTATATTGTTATCGTGTCTGATCTCTTAAGGAAATGCTGTAATTGTTTAAAAAGGAGAAATCTATCGAATAGTCATAACTGTTATGACAGCAATCATCCAAGGTATTCCGAATGTTAATAATGATAATACCATTGTCTGTGGTTCTGTTTTCATGAAACCTCAAATTATGTCTTGTATTGATGAATTGTACACAAAGATGTCGCCAAAATGACGTAAAATCTAATAAAACCCACAAATAACTTTCTCTTGTAGTTTTATTTATAGCATTATGTTCTCACATTGTATTTCAGTTGAAATCGCTTTTAGTCTTCAGCTTATTCTTCAAAGAAAGCACAAGAATGCAGATTCATCTCTATTGCCCTAACCTATTGATTTTAAAGAATTCAGTTTTGTTTCTCTCGGTAAACTAAAAATCCCGAATCGTCACCACAGTTTCAACTTTTATCCCTTTCTTCTTTTGCATTTCCATGAACAGATTGAACACAAAATCACTGCTCTAGAAAGCGCTAATAAAACACAGTAGAACTGTACAAGAATGCATGAATACACGAGAAAAGCTGCTAGAAATGTATTAGATTATCCATGTAAATGAAAACG